CGGAAGGACATTAGCGAGGACTATGTCATCGCCCAAGAACTTAAGATAACCTGTGGGTGGTTGTCGTTGAAGTGTGGTAAGTTAATGGCAGTCGCCTCTGCGGCACTTCACGTAGGTAGCCCAAGCTTGGTTTCTGTGGTATCCTATTTTAAGGAAATGTATGAAGATTCATAAAAAATCTCAATAAAATCATTGAAACGTGAAATAAAGCCCCGAATTTTTACCCGATCATTGAGAAATAGCACTTCTTTGGCTCTTCGTGGTTATTTTTTGAATTTAGCCCGTTTTAAGATTTTTTCCCCCACCAGTAAGAAATAAGAGAAGGTTGGAAACTCGAGGCCCAATAGCGAACCATCACGAGTCTTTGGAACCTCGTACGTCTTCGAATTTCCTTTCCAGCGCCAACTTTTTGTCATAACCCTTCTCTCACATCCCTATAGAACCGAGAAAGTCACGCCGGAAGTCTTCGTATCGTAAATGATAAGTTAAATACTTTTGTATCTTAGTTCGTCAAAAAAACACTCACCATAATTTTGAAGAAAGACTATATCCAAATCCAAATTATGGTGATTTTTTTCTTAACGACCTAAGATACAAAAGTATTTAACTTATAACTTCGAAGAAATACTATATCTAAATCCAATCCGCATTTACGATACGAAGACTTCCGGCGTGACCTCGGGTCGGTTGCCGAAAGAAATCCGTTGAACTGGTGTACAGTGAGCTCCAAGTACGGGTCAGAACAAGCGAGGTAGTATGTTAATACAGGCAAATTTCATGGCTTAAAGACGCGAAGACTAATCTCTAATGCGACTTTCTCGGTTCTATAGGGATGTGAGGGAAGGGTTATGACAAAAATTTGGCGCTGGAAAGGAAATTCGAAGACGTACGAGGTTTCAAAGATTCGTGATTGTTCGCTTTTGGGCCTCGAGTTTCCAACCTTCTCTTATTTCTTACTGGTGGGGGAAAAAATCCTAAAACGGGCTAAATTCAAAAAATAACCACGAAGAGCCAAAGAAGTGCTATTTCTTAATGATCGGGTGAAATTTCGAGGCTTTATTTTACGTTTTAATAATTTTATTGAAATTTTTGATGAATCTCCATACATTTCCTTATAACAGGACACTACAGAAACCAAGCTTGGGCTACCTGTGCATGAACTACCGACTTCCATCTAGAAAAAGAAAAAGACAGTGAAAAAGTACAGTATCTTTATATCATTAAAATATTGATTTTTTCCAAACTGATAAATGCACGTGTTTACACTTGCAAACACATTTAGCTTGCAGCATATCACTTTTTTAATGTAAAACTGCTAGTATATTGAAGCATATTGTAAAAATCATTATCACTGCTCTAAGTCTGATTGAAAGGACTGCTGATTCCTGAATACTGCTGATTCCTCTTCTTCCTTTAACAAATCAACAATAATCCGCATCTTTCTTGTGTGTGTGCTCTATTTTATGTGTTGCTTCTAGATGCACATAATGGTTGTATAGTAGGTTTGCACGAGTAAAGAAATCGTTCAAATCACAAGGAGTAGCTTCAAGAGAGTTTTCAAAATGTTCTAAAGTTTGAAGGACATTTTGTATACGTTTAAGAAAAGGAATTTTTGCATTAATCGCCGACATGTTTTCAAGTTAAAAACTGAAAAAACACAGTCTTTTTCGGACGGCTAAGTGCTCTAGGGCCCAATATAAAAATGTCGAACTTGAATAACAAATGTCGAATTTGAAAAACGAAAGTCAAATTTGAAAAACGAATGTCGAACTTGAATAACGAATGTCGAACTTGAATAACGAATGCCGAACTTGAATAACGAATGTCGAACTTGAGTAACGAATGTCGAACTTGAATAACGAAGGTCGAACTTGAAAAACGAAGGTCGAAATTGAAAAACTAAGGATGAACTTGAAAAACTAAGGTTGAACTTGAATTTTGCCAAGAAAAACGCGCCATAAGAAAGTAGTAGTGATGAAGATATGAAGCTACTCGATGTTCTAAGCGTGAACACCAAGAAAGCCAAAGATAATGAATGGTGAGAGACAGTGGAGATAGGCACCTCAAGAGTTGAATGTCAGCTGGATACAGGAGAAAAAGTGTGTGTGATGAATTTGACGCAATTATACGACATAGAGCCAAATGCTGAGATAACGCCAACCAAGAAAAAACTAGTTTCGTACAGTAGTCACACCATCACTCCTCGTGGTTATATATTCATATATTCATGTCTAGAAGTACGCCACAGGAATACCAAATGTCGGTTAAAGTCTTACATCGTACACAACAGTGAGAAGCTAATAGACCTTTCTCCAAAATGTCTTTGGCCGCGGAGAGACTGGAAACTGGGGGTATTGCTTTCGATTGTTACATACTGTTACAAGTAAACTGGATTGAACTTTTGAATTTTTTTATCGCGTAATGCCTCATAATTGTTGCGTTCCTCAATGCTTTTCTAACTCTAAAAAGAACACGGATTTGATGTTTCACAGATTTCCTAAGAAAAAGCAACTGAAAAAGCAATGGATAAGCAAAATTGGCCGCGATGAAGGCCCTTCGTTCGTCGTAAATGACAACACACGTGCTTGTTCAAAACATTTCACCAAAGATGATTACACTGTAAGCATGCTTGGAAAAGGCGAAAAACTTGTATTGAAGAAAAMCACTGCCCCCTCTGTGTGACTGGACAAAGCCAAGGAGCTGCCGTAAAACTAAATCGAGTACTGAAGGCCGAAGCAGTGAAGTACCCTCGAAGAAACGGCGAAAGTGTTGTTCAAAGTGTGAAGAAAAACAAAACACAATTCATTCTCTTCAAAGCTATGTCGATAACAAAAACACTGTAATAAACGATCTAAGAGAAACGATAGCCGACTTAATGGATAAATTGGAATCGGAGAAAAGCGATTTACAGTCGCAGTTGTCTCAGAAAAGTCACCATACTTGTTTTTCTGCTGAATGTTTTGAAAGTGACGACAAAGCAATCCGACATCATACAGGTGTATACAACTGGCAAGTCTTCAGGCATCTTTTTGAGTTTTTGAAGGAAAGAACAACTCATTTGAATTACTGGAGATCTGCAAGAGATGCCGAGAAACATTTTGCTTATGATGTTAAACACAAGAAGCGTCAAGGAAGACCAAGGTATTTGAAAGTGATTGATGAATTATTCTTGACACTTGTACATTCACGTCATGATTTCACTTTGAGGCACCTTTCATTTCTTTTTAAAATTTCTACAGCGACCGCATCGAGGGTTTTTCTTACTTGGATTAATTTTCTGTATCTGGAATTTGGAGCGATTCCAATTTGGCAAAGCAGAATTTTAAACGACGAAGCAATGCCAGTAGCGTTCAAGGAGAAATACTTTAATACGAGATGTATCTTAGACTGCACTGAAATCAAAATTAACAAGCCATCCTCTCTAAGGGCCCAAAGTCAGTGCTTCTCATCCTACAAGAAAACCAATGCTGCCAAGGGACTGCTAGGAATTGCACCTTCAGGAGCTCCTGTTTTTATCTCAAAACTTTACGATGGAAGTATTTCTGATAGAGATAACAAAAAACAAAACAAAAAAGTGGAGTTTTAGACTTATTTGAAAAAGGGGATGGTAGTATGGCAGACAAGGGGTTTGATATTAAAGATTTGTTAAAGCCTTTGTAAGTGGATTTTAATATCCCTCCATTCTGAGAGACAAAGAACACTTTGATAAGAGTGAAGTTGATAAAACCCAATCTATTGCTAGTGTGAGAATCCATGTCGAAAGGGCCATAAGTCGAATCAAGATGTACAGAATGCTTACTAATGTTGTACCCCTAACCCTGGCTGATGTACTGAATCAGATATGGACTGTTTGTTGTATGCTTCTTCTATTTCAATCACCTATTATCAACCAAGATAATGATGATGGTGAATGTGATGATGATGATGATGATAGTGATGACGATGATGATAATAATGGTTATGAATGATAATGGTGGTGGTGAATAGAAGCTTAAAGTATGCATCATAGAACATTTACATACATAAACGTATAACAGATTTCATGAGTAGAAAGCTTGCTATTGTTTATAAGGATTTTATTAAAGATATTTGAACATGTTTATAATGTCATTCCTGTGATAGCACATTGAGGTTAGAATAGTTAACAGCATTTTAACAGTGAAATGCAGTTTTTAAAATGAGTTTGAAAAGGGAATGATTGAAAGAGTAACAAAAACGAAAAACAGAAAATTGAAGAAAAAATTTCCTATCAAAAGGCTCAAACATCAGTGATTACACTTGTAAACATATCAAGAGTACCTCATTTAAAACAGGTCTGGAAAATAAAGGGAACACAGACAGTTTCTTAATTTCTTTAAATACATATATTCCTCTAAAAATAGGAATGCTAATAAAATGAGACATACAACTTTTTAAACATTCTTCAGCATGTACATTTCTTTAGGACAGTTTTGTGTACATGTTTCAAAACATGTTTTGTGGTTTGTTTTAGATCTTGGATCAGAGCTTGCTTTAACACCTTCTATCATTGGCTGATTCGAAATAAAAATGATCTGTCCCTAAAATTGATTGATAATCCAGAAAAGACAAAATCAAAACGAAATTATGAAATGGTGGGTCACAATACAACAAATTTGTCTGAAAGTGTCATGTTATAATACAAGTAAGCACATAATGTAAGATATTTTTGAGAAAGATATATCTGATATTTATGTAAATATGTTTTATTCCTGTCCTGTACACAAGTAAGGCAGACAGTGCACAAAATAAGGATCTTGAATTCTAGATACCATTTCTTCTAATAGACTCTCATCAAAAAGTATTTTCTCAATAAACAGATTCTTTGCTCCATCTTTAGTGTGTACACATAATTTACACCAGGTTAATCCTGCTATTCCCATTAAACCTTGAATCTGATAGTAGAACTTATGATTATGTTTCAATGTTATGACCCCATCTTTCTCAGTGAGACATAAATCCTTTTTAAGCCTAATRCTTTCTTCAATAGATTTACCATGTACAGAGGGGATACAYTTAATCTCCAAGATCCCCACCTCAGGTYGTTYTTTGGGGTCATAAATGATGCCATCAGGAGAAGCACCCATCCAGTACAGCTGAGGGTTGACTAATAATCCACAWTTAAATACCTTGACGTCAGATCCGGACAGAGTTTTAAAGTCTTTCACTACTTGWGGTTYCTTTGCTATTCCATATTTCAYATATTCAGTTTGAGCAGTGGATGTTCCAAATATAGATTTCAATTATGCTTGATTGTCAGGTGCTTTTCTTCTCATAACATCTCCAAATTTTGAGGCAGTAATCCTATGTGATCTCTCTTGATACCATGTATTTGATTCTGATTGACTTCTAATGTTTTTCTCGATATCCTTCGATTGCTCTGGTGTTATCTTTATTGACTGKAATAAAACTTTCTCWTGGTCAAGTAAGTCGGCTKCTATAACAGGGTGAACRRAGTTGATAGCTGTTGGAAATTCAAATACCTTTTCCAATCCTTCTGYTRTRTATACTGTTTTTAACATACCTTCTGGGTAAATATCTCGTAGYTGGTGTGCTAAAGCACTTCCTCTCAGTGGATTATCCCAAGGTAAGCTCACACGATCGTTGTCTTCAACATTCACATATTGTAACCAAGAAGCATAAGTGGTAGGACAGTCATTACTAATCCTTTCACCAAGTTCTTTTATTTTTTCGATCGAAACTTGTCGCTGACTAATAGGTCTTGGATCGTACAGATAACTTTGAACTTTCCTATGCACGTTTTTAAATAATATATCGATTTGTTCGAGGTTTAACGAAATCTGACTCAAACCAACGCTGTGGTAAAATATTACTTCCACGTGGACGATGCCATTGTTGTATACGCGAGGTTGGCGAATCGTTTTCCTCTAGTTTTGCTATCAGATGGGTGAATAAAGCAGACAAATGCTGACACTTTCCTTTTCCCGCTTTACAAGAACAGTTTGTCGTGAGAACAGAGCACGCGTGTCCCGTTATATCGAAAATGATGAATTGGTGTGGCTTTTCACTATTCAATATTGATCGGTAGCATTTCGCTTTGATAACGCAAATATCATCATCTAATAAAATCGTAGCGTCCTCTAGATACCCTTCAAGAAAGTATTTATCTCCTTTCTCCCTTCTTTTTTTGTGCTCAAGCCAATGTTCGGCACATTTCGACACATTTTACAACTTTTGGCCTCACTGAATGTGCCGCATCCGCCATCTTTATTTGCGAATATAAACACATGCCATACCCTCAGTTTCCATTTTCCCCGCGGTTTTGGAGAAAGGTCTATTCTGTCTGCAGAAGCGTGTAAAGTCCTTGGACTTATCGAGAAAATTCAAGCCAATGACAAAGAAGTCACGGAAACTCTAAAGGAATTCCCAGCCTTAGTCGACGCCACGGGAGCACTCCCATGCATCTACCCCACGGGCTTCTACCATGTTATTTATCTGAGTTATTAAGTTATCAGAAGTACTCTAGATCATTACGTTCCACTAGCAAAGAACTTTTATCTATACCTAATAGCAATCTTAAAACGTATGGAGACAATGCTTTTGTTGTCGCTGCACCAAGACTTTGGAACAATTTACCGATAGAAATACAAAAGTCTCCATCTGTGTCTGTTTTTAAAAATTCGCTGAAGACACATTTGTTTAAGTTAGCTTTTAATTTCTAATTTTACAATTAGTACAATGTTTTTTTTTTATTTTCACATATTTTTACGTTTCAATTTTTATTTAGCTTAGTTAATTATGTATTATTTTTTATTAGTGAGCGCTCTAAGCAATTAGTGGATGTATAGCTATATAAATAATAATAATAATAATAATAATAATAATAATAATAATAATAATAATAATAATTATTATTATTATTATTATTATTATTATTATTATCTATACTCTCGAGATTGACTAAAAAAGAAAACCAGTAGTCCAGGCCCCAAGAAAGCAGCCTGCTGCCCTATTGCCAAAAATAAAAAAGAAACTGGAAGAGATGGAGTCCCAAGGTCATCTAGTCCGAGTCACAGAGCCCACAGACTGTGTGAACTCGATGGTCGCCAAATGCCCAGACGGAAACCCTTCTCAGTCTTGGACGCAAAGAGTGGATATCTACAGATACAACTAGACTACGAGTCAAGTCCCCTGACTACGATGAACACACCCCTCTGTCGCTACCGATGGACAAATTTACCGTTTGGCATTAAGAGCGCCCCAGAGATTTTCAAAAGAATAATGGATGAGATGTTAGGAGGCATTGAGTACGCCAACGCAGTCATGGACGACATTCTGGTAAGCGGAAGAAACAGAGAACATCACGATTAAGTACTACCCCAAGTCCTAGAGCGTGCCCAAGCTTACAACCTACAGCTCAACCTTGACAAGATGAAGATACGCAAGACGGAAGTATCATACGTTGGACACGTCCTCACAACAGAGGGAATGAAACCCGATCCGGAAAAAGTGAAGGCAGTCCTCCAAATGCCACCCCTAGACTCGAAAGAAGCAGTACGTAGATTTCTTGGCTTTGTCCAGTACTTATCCAAATTTCTCCCAGTGCTAGCAGAAGTAGAAGAACCCCTGAGAGAGCTTACGCACAACAATGTACAGTTCCACTGGGACAAGCCTCAGCAAGAAGCATTTCAAAAACTCAACGGATTGTGCTACAAAACCCTAGTACTCGCATACTACGACGTCAGGAAGAAAACAACAATCCAGTGCGACGCAAGTAAAACTGCTGTTGGTGCTGTTCTGTTGCAAGAAGGAAAGCCAATAGCCTATGCTTCGACCTTCAGAGTGCAACTGGGCGCCAATAGAAAAGGAATTGCTCGCAATAGTCTACAGTACAGAGAAATTCAGAGAATATATTCTTGGCATGGAAACACTAGTGTAAACAGATTACAAGCCCTTAGAGATCATTTACCATAAGCCACTACTTTCTGCACCACTAAGACTACAAACCATGTTACTGAAAGTCAAAGGATATGATCTCAAAGACAATGAGAGCATCAATGTTAGACGTTATACAATAACACTCATCTAGGAGTAGTCAAGTCTAAACAAAGAGCAAGGGAAACACTATACTGGCCTGGTATGAGTGCGCAAATAAAAGATAAGATAGCCAACTGCAGCATCTGTCAAGCATACGCGACAGCTCAACCGAAAGAGCCCATGATAGCAACAAAGCCCCCAGACCTTCCATGGATGCAAGTAGCCTCAGACATTTTCTACTTAGAAGGACACAACTACATACTAACAGTCGACTATTATCCCAAGTATATAGAGGTAACCAAGCTAACAGACATGACAACGTCACAAAAAATCGAAGCTTTGAAAGCACACTTTTCTGCCCTGGTAATACCTGAGAAGTTAAATAACAGACAATGGAACACAATACTCAAGTTCACAGTTCAGTTTGCCAAGGAGTATGGTTTTGAACATGTAACAAGCAGCCCTCGTTACCCCCGTTCAAGTGGTGAAGCTGAAGCCGCGGGGAAAACTGTGAAGAGGATGTGGACCAAATGCAAAGACAAGTAACTAGCCCTTCTGACCTACAGAGCTACCCCTCTACAAAGTATCGAACTTTCACCCTCACAGTTACTGATGTCACGCAGGTTACGGACGACATCGCCAACAGCTCGAAACCTATTAATCCCAACCTCCTACAACATTACACAAGTAAAGAGAGTGATGAGACACTTTAAGAGCGGCTGTCTGTAAAAACCAGACCAATTCGAAATTTCGTGGCAACAGTCAAAAAATCGATTTTG